TGTGTATTAACCTGAAGAAGTAAAGTGATGAATTAAACATGAAAAGAAAATCTAGTGAATAATACATGCCAAAGTTTAGTTCAAATAAATTGGGCACAGGAGCTGACACTGAAATAGAAAATATCTGACATTAATTGACCTGATAGAAAAGTAGGAATAAAATATGGAATTAATTAATGGAGAATTCTGACAGTCGGTGTTTAAACATAAAACCCTTCCCCCCAAAAAAAAATGCCGAAAGTGGTTGTTCAAGCTCCTACCTCATTCTGGAGGCTGTCACGATAACGCCGCCATCGTTGGTCCCGGGCGTACTCTAACCGGAACTTGCGGGTGAACTCCCGGCCATCGCCTAAGTACCAGCGGCCCTGGGTGGACAGCGCCGTCATTACAGTCACGTTGTGAAAGTTGACCTGCAAGAACTCGTAGCGGCCATCCACCTCGGGCGCGGCACTGACTGGGCACCAGGCCCCGCTGCCTAGCTCCAAATTTAATCTGAGGAGGGAGGGACGGAAGGGGACAGAAACAGATTCCCGGCAAGTTAGAATGAACCCGAGGAGGGTTAATAACGTGACAATGGTAGTGGGGTAACTATAACCCTGAAATCTCTGAGACCGCACCCAGAGCTGCAAACTTTTTTTTCAAGGGGACGACGACGGCAAATTGACTGTGGCCTGAGCATAGGCAGTTCTCTTTCAAATCAAGTTCCCTAAAGTCTAACAGCAACTTACAACGATAACGATGTTTTGTTTGCAAGCAGTAAGAAGTAAAGAAATGTATTTTTTGTATCACATGACGCTGCAAGCTTGGAACTATTTCAGAGTGTCCACCCTCACTCTTGCGTTTTGGTGGGTGACTTTTCTTGGTCATGAAATCCCCTTCCTCTCACACACTCCCGAAAAATTGAGCTCCAATTTCCAACAAAACACTTCATCGTGTTCAAAAACTCTTCAGTTGATAATGGGAGTTGAACGGCCAATAGAAGAATGGTACATGCACCGTCCAATCACCTCGCATTCTGCGGCCCATAGAACATAACATCATTAAGATAGATGGAGCTGGCTTCAAGCTGGTCGTCAGTGATATCCTTGCTGTTCATTCCCAGTGGTGCACGACAGGTTGCTGCAAAAGAAAAAGAAAAGAGTCATGCACCCTCGCCATGTGTGTACAGCAAATGGTCTAGTGTTAGCTTTGCATTGATACCCCACGGACCAAGCGTACCCCAACAGGTGTAAGTGCCAGCCAGACCCCACTCCCCAAAAATAATCTTCATTTGTGCCTGCAGAGGCTGTCATGTAGGTATTTACAAAGTGCAAATTCTACACGTACACAATACGGGCGATTCACAATAGTACGCCACCAAGAATTTGCAACGCATTGGCCAATCACAATGCGCGAAATCTGTCGACCCAATGCGCGTTTGGAAATGGTTGACAAATTTCTGGCGTTGTGATTGGCCAACGCATTGCAAACTCGTGGAGGCGCACTATTGTGAAATACCCGTATTATGTTCAAATCAAACTAAAATGCCATGTAAAGGTGCCAGGCGTCTCTTTAAGGCACCTGCCAAGCAAAACCACATCTGCTAACAGAGAACAGTGAGGGATTGTCAGTTTGGAATTTTTTTTTTCGGAGCCAGGAAATTGGGACAACTCAGAGAAAAATCACTCTCGGCATATAATGCAATAACGTAATTTCATTATTGTACAATGTTTTTGAAAATAATTTTAACTTGCACTTTATAACTGAATCAAATGCAGATTGCAAAATACTACTTACGCAGATCCAGCCATGCCGTCGACAACCGAACACTCCGCAGCATTACAAACACCACCAACGCTGCAACTCTCCATTTTGTCTTCAGTACTGTCATAGTCATTCTTTTTATAATCTTGACATAAAATACAGTCGCATAAAACTGTAGATATACAAAGTGCAGGAATATTTTACAGCTTTCCCCGAAAGCAGGCAGCCAACGGGACGATGTCCGTTGTGCAAGAGTGAGATCCGCAGGGTCCCTTCACGAGTCTGTCCAATTTTGCACTGCAGGGAAGCATGGTGCCAGTCCTATGCAGCAACACTCTTTCGAGCTTCACCGCCCGCTGCAGCTGTTGACTCTTCAGCACTCGTACATCGATGACTGCGAGTGTTTTCGACTGATGCAATTCCGGGTTGCCAGCCACAGTCTTGAAGCTGAACTTGCTGGGATGTTTCGTTACCCTCGGTGATTTCCTGCAAGACTCCCCCTACAGACTACAACAGAATCCATCCAGGGCTGAGCTGAAACTGCCCGAGGCTCACATTACCCTGTAGGAAGAGAAACGAAAGTGACAGAAGGAACATGATTAAACAATTCCTCTCTTCGGCTCAAGTTACAGAAAAAGAAAAAAAAATGGCCAGATATCTGATGACGACAGACCAATTCTTAAAATTACATTGATTAAAAATCACGTATCATCCAAAATGGAGATAATTCGTTTGTCAAAGCTTAGGTTTTACTGTGTTGTTCTTGGCAAGCAGTCTCTGAAAGCATTCGAATCATGGTCAGTGAGTTCCCGACAAAATCAAGAGATCATCAGTGGGGGATCCAAGCAAGCCAAACCTGGACCAAAGCACTTGTTAAAAAGCAGAGGGCTCAAACTTAAACCTACCTCTGATAAGCTGTGATTTGTTTTGTTTACATCTAACATAATTCCCGAAAGCTTTGAATACGACTTGCCAATATAACATAAAAGGAGCACAGAATGCGTAAACATCCTTCCCTCCCCATGAAAACAAAATAAACAACAACAACATCTGCAGTATTTATTTTGGTTTAACTTTCCAGTCAGGAGCAGCTAGTTAAACAGTGACATCCTGAAAACATTTTCAAAGGGATTCAAGCCACAACCCCCAAAACAATCCCATCCCCCCCAAAAAAACATGGGGATACTGGTAAGTTGCATAACCCCCACAATCTTCAAACAATTCCCACGACCTCTGAGCACAGAAAAGGTCTTGTTATTGCCCCAAAGTGAAAGTCCATCTAGTCCACTGACCGAGGAAACACATGCTAATGGAAACGATTTCAGGAAGGGCAGGAGCGACAGCACTTGCGCAAAGTCACTGGATCCTTTCCAAATTCTGGCTGAGACAAAAGTTGCCAAGAAAAATCATGTCCCGTGGGAGTCCCACTCCTAGCGTATGGAGACGTGTAAAGTACATGTATGCAACCTCTTCTACAGCAGGGTAGTTTGGGTGAGGGAGAATCTTCCAGAAATGGGGCCTCTTCTCAGTGAATTGGAGATTTAAAGGCAAACTTTGCAATTTGAATAAAATCAGTGATACATGTACACAGTTTTAACAGGGGATATCGTGCCTCATTCTGGTTTACATGTATCGGTACATGCACATGTATGAGTGAGCATTTTATATGTACCAGTATAAACACCTCTTTCTGGGTTTAAGAAACTCTGCTTTTTACTTCAGGAGCTCATGAAAGAATGATAAATAAGGATCAAGCGTCTCCTTCTTTGGAGGTTTTAAGAAACATCTTAAAACTTTACTTTCGTTCAGAAATTGAATCGACCAAAATGTCATTATTCTTTTTTCGTTCTTGATGTAAAGTGCTGTGAAACAACCTACAGTTTGTAAGAGCACTGTACAATTGCATTGCATGGCACTGCATTGCATTGCATTGTTCCAACCTACTGTAAGCAGTCCACTGAAGAAGTGTCTTTGGAATAAACTTTGCACCGAGGGTATGAAATTGCTTCCAAAGGAAGGCAAACCAATGGCAAAACTCATCTGTAACATGATCTTACTGCATGTTTCTCTCTGGCCAAACAGAGAGCCGCTCCACCGGCGGAGCAAAAAAAAAAATACAAAAAAACACTGTTTGAAAATCTGAGTAAGTTGTTTTTATAAAGCAGGGAGGGAGTGTCTCCATTGTACATGTAGGGGTAGTACAGGCACAACTGATAAGCCTTAGTGCCTGGATTTCTGACAACAGCCCGGGGGAATGTCTTATTTGTGACAGATCATTTTCAGCCGGTACCTGGTGAGGTCTGTACTGCTGCAAAAAAGATGGATTCATTTTGGCAGGCAAGCTACTCAGCTTATCGCATCTACGGACATCTGCAGACTCGAATTGTATGTTAATCAATGCGGAGGTCTGCTGCACCTGAAGGAGAAACACATTCGTGTACGGGCTACTGTACATGAGAAAACCGAATAGCCACTCTTTGGCGGCTAATACCCAAGAGCGACAAGAAATCACATTTACATTTGAGAAGCCGCCATTATGGGTGCGACTTTTGAAAAGCAATGATGTACCGGTAGACCGTAGAAGGGTTTATAGAATCCAAGCACTGGTTACCATTCACACTCATTACTGACTTGGAGTAAGAAGTGCTTCCTGGTTTAGTAAAAAAACATAGTAAAAAAACACACTGGAGGTTGCTTGGTTGGTTAGGATAGTGTCAGTGAACATGTAGAACCTGAACAAGTGTGTCAAAGGTCACGGCCGTATGCTGCTTGCACACAGTGGTCTGTGAGTGAAAAAGGGCCTGCCGAACTTGAAAATTTTCAACACAATGAGTACAAATCCCTTGCATCTTTCTGTGAGAGGAAAGCACTTGGCAATGAGATGCACTGTTGAAATTGCATCTCCTTGATCTTATAAAAATTATTTCTGTCAAATTGTATTTTTTAGATCTCCCTTGTGAACACACGACGAAGATTTATCTTTTCTTGAGCATTGTAATTTTTATTGTATCAGGCACTGGAAAATTCTTAAATGAAATATCGCATTTCAAAAGTAACACTGGCATAAATGGCCTTATCTGAAGCAGTGCAGCCCTGAAATGCGAAACCTCTCCTCTGGCCAAAACAAATACACGGTGTGCTGATTCAAACGCGGAAAAATGGAAATGAATTTCGACATGAAACCGAGCAGACAGCTGTAACTGGATATAAAAGAAATACAGTGCACAGTTTGCAACTTCACCAGAGCAAAGTGAAAGCAATCAAACCTCGTTAGCCATTGACACCTCGACAATAATGGCTAGACGCTGTTCCATGGTCTCCATTTCAATGAGAGTCCCTTGATCAAGGCACCAGTAGACTGATTGGTGGGGTTGTCTCAACTTTTACAATGTAGGGTCAATGCAGGGTAGGGTCAAAACCCTGCCAAAACAAGCTCCTACAGTAAGTTTGCTTGCAAACTGACTGAGAATGCCACACAAGCATTGTCTTGTTTCACCCCTGTAACGAACTCCAAGCCAGCTGCACAAAATAGAATCAAGTATTTTCGGCGAAAAAACATCACAAAATATTTTCCCCCGCCAAGATCAACAAACCCAAAAGGAACATTCTTGTTTATATAATTGGACCCTATGGAATTTGGCAACTTAGGGTTAATATTCTTGCCCAAACATTTGCTCAGATATTAAATAGGCTCCCTTATAAAGAAAATAATAGAAAAATGCATGCACAATGGGTAGAATATTTCACTATACATGTACCAGTAAGATGTCATATCATCATACAATATACATGTATTGTCAGTCTAAATTTTAATGGCCGGCTCCTTGCAAAGTTTTACTACATGTACCACAAATGGGACAGAGTGCTGCACCATATATAACTCATTGCATGTCATGCGTGAACCAAGGAAAGACAGCGGCCCGGGCACCGGGGACACACAATGGTGAGCATGTTTTGACACCCATAATTGACATTCACATCTCATCTGGTGCCAACAGCATATAAAAGTACACGTACAGGGCCGCCTCAGCGGGGCACTGGCCGACCCACAGCACGGGCCCTCGGTTGGCACTGGCTCCTGACCAATCAGGCGGGAGACGACTAGCTGGCCCCCTGCCGCTCACTGACGTCATGCCATCTGCCTCAAAAGTTTGGAGTGGCACTTCTTTCTAATCTCTATCTTCCTTTTCTTCAGAAGCAAGGCAAGGTTTAACCTCATTGGATTAAAAATTGAGACAGCATTAGAGCTTAATTCGGTTTGCAGAGTTCCCCACTGATAGTATTTCAGGCAATTGCTTCCACCGGTTCATACTGTGTGGACATATTCCAAAACAAAGTACGGCCCAATAAAAGTACATGGAAACACCATTTGTTAATAAGCATGTTTCAAAATTGAAACTTGACCAACTGTCAATCTGATAGAAACTACAAGTCATTTGAAAGCCCTGATGATATCGTGATTTATGACATACATGTACATTATTTCTTCACAGTCCATACTGATGACCTTCAGTCGTACTCGTACATCATTACACCGGTACACTGTATGTCTATTTTCGGTTTCAAACTGTTAATTCCAGGATGCACATCCCATGCTCCACACGGGGTTGCTCAGAAATGATCATTCAATCAATTTCAATGAACAACAGTGCTGGTATTTAATGCTGTGTTCACCTGTATTCAGTGGCCGGTCTTTCCCGGTAGTCCGGCAGTGATAGGCCTACATGACACTATGTGGTGGGTATAGACGCTGTATGTTTTTGCTGTCACTGAATTTTACGCCCAAAAAATGCACTCTTCTATAGAGGAAAAGAAAACGCAGTGCTACACAAAAGCTAAAGGTTGTAACAAACCAGAAGTGTTGAAAATGCACATGGCTTGATTACTTTTGTCAGGCAGCAGATGAGTTTCGTTACTGCACTTGTAAGCACATTAAGAGGCACTGATGATCTGTTAGAACAGAATGAAGATGATTCTAAGTTACAGGGGGCCCAGAAAAATAAAATCTAACATTTCCATTTTTCGAATTTGACCCAAGTAAAATTATCACACACTGCTACAAATACTCTCCACTCTGACAATGCAAATTACACAACTTGTTTAGGGGAGCCCGTCCCCCCACCATATTTTTGGGGGCTTCTGCCCCCCCTTCCCCAATTCCTACGGGCTTGCATGATATGGGTATGGAAGTCCCAACTGCTCCAGACTCCCATCAAGTTGACATCAACCATTGGCAGGTATGGACTGATGCACTTCGTGAATATGCCAGGCAACCAATTTGGATTGGCAACTCGGAAGGGAGTCAGGATGATTTTGGGAGACTTCCCCATGCAAATTGGTGGCTACTGCTGTCTTGCCAGAAACTCCAAGATGTCCAAATCTCAAGGGTTTGGCCACATGTTTTTTGTACATGGAACACCAGTGATGCATGAGATACACTGATGGATAGAAACCTCCTCCTCCCGTTAGACCACGCCCAAAATACACTCAAGAGGTACTGAAACCTAAATTGGAGTGGCTCGACCGAGCCTTCTATGCTGACCAGTCTTTTGTAGTAAATG